TCCCTGGCTCAGCAAGCCTGGGGACAGGGCTGGCATGGCATTCAATCCTGGGGATCCAACTCAGTCCCTGCACTTGCCTAAACAGGCGCTTATTCCATGGAGCTATCTCACCAGCCCTCTCTCTCTACCTTTTTATATTTGGAATTACCCCTGTCTCCACTCCTTCCAGTTCCAGTGTTCTAAACAGCAGACTAAAGTGTATATTCAGGGTTCTTGTTTCAGCCACAGGCCCCCAAAAGTCCATGATTAGAATTCTACTTTAATATAATAAGTTTTCTCTGAACCTCTAGGCACTTTGCTTTGTGCTAAAATTAAAATATAGTTCTAAGGAGGGATGCGTACACTTGAGCATCGAGGCAAACAGGTAACCAGGAGACACAAAGAGGCAAGAACACCCCGTGAGTGCGGCTCCTTTGCACCCATTCCAATTAGCCTTTCGTTTAGGTAGCATGTTCTTCCTTGACTGTCTCATCAGATTCTGTGATTTCGATGATTTCTCATCCATTTTTTGTTCAAAAGTCCTGCTGGTGCATGTTCTGGAAATCCAGCCTCATATTCAACAAGTTCCCTACATTCCTACCCTTTCCCTAAGCATCCCCACGGCTCCTGGCCTTCGCTAAACCTCGTACCCACGTCCTTCTCAGTTTATAAATGAACAAAGAAAACTCTTTGATGTTCTCCTCTAGTGAAACTGTCCCTCCCTTCCCATAGTTTCCTTTTCCTTCTGCAACAAATATTAACCTATAGCTTAAAAAACACAAATTTATTCTTCTACAGTTCTAGAAGCCAGAGGCCCAAATAGGCTTTGCAGGGCTAAAAGCAATTGCCAGATATACCAGTTCCTTTTGAGACCCCAGGAAGAATCTCTTTCTTGACTCTTCCAGCATCTAGAGGAAGCTGGTGTTTCTTGGTTCAAGGTAGTAATGCTTAGATCTCTCATGACATTAGGGTTTACGTCTAGGTGCCTCCCAAGCCCTCATAGGCATGCTCATAGGTAGGAGCTTTTCAGAAGTGGCTGGATCTAGAGTATATACATATAGATCAATGGTACATAATAACTAAATCAGCCCACTGACTGGCTTACATATTTTGGCGTATGACTAGTCAGAAGACCCACCCTGGGTATGGGTTGTACTATTCAACAGGCTCATAGCCTGAATGGGATAAAAGAGAATGGACAACATGCTGCTCACTGCCTCCTGCCTGCCCTGCCATGGACTGTTCCTCTTCTGCCCTTCTTTGCCATCCTGCCCTGGAGTCAGGCAACTGTGGACTGAAACCTCTACAGACTGAGCCAAAATAAACCTTTCTTCCTTAGAGTTTTGGGTGCTAGGTGTTGCATCTCAGGGATGAGAAAGTAGACAACTGCCTTCCTCTTCTAAGGGTCCCCGTGATTATGGCAAGCCACCATGGCTAATCAAGATACTCTTCGTCCTTCACTTAATTACATCTGTTAAGGTTTTTGTTTTTGTTTTATTTTTGCTGTGAAAGGTAATGCAGGAGGTTCTGAGGATGAGATGTGAACATCTACTTAGCCTATCACACACCCTGTTTCTCTCATTTTTTAAATATTTATTTATTTATTTACTTATTTAGTGGTACTAGGGATTGAACACAGGACCTTGTACTTGCCAGGCAGGTACTTGTTCAGCTGAGCTATATCCCTAGCCCTTCAAAAAAAATTTTAAATACTTTTTTTTTTATATTTAGGACAGGGTGTACAGGGTATACAGGGTCTCACTGCTTAGATCAGACTCATAGTGATCCTCCTGTTTACAGCCTCCCAAATGCTGGGATTACAGGTGCACTACCATGCCCAGTTTCAATCGCCTTCTCAGGGCACTCTGGGGGCAGGGCCAGCACGGCAGGCCTGGGATCGAACTCTCAGCCCCTGTGTCTTCCTAAGCAGGTGCTTTAATCCACTGAGCTATGTTTTCAAAAAAAAATTTTAAGACAGGGTCTTGCTAGGTAGTTTAGGATGGCCTTAAACTATGGCAATCCTCCTGTCTCAGCCTTCCAAGTGCTGGGATGATAGGAATTCATCATTACATTCTCCTACATCTTTGATTTTTTTTTTCTTTTGAGGAAAAGTTCTCACTATCCAGTTCAGCTTGGCCTTGAACTCACTTTGTAGCCTAGGCTGCCCTTGAACTCACAATGAACCTCTTACCTCAGCTTTCTGAGTGCTGGGATTACAGGTATGTGCCACTATGTCTGGCAGCAATTGAATTCTTAACACCCTGCTCTAAATTTGTCTCTGTTCCATATTTCTTACTTCAGTAAATGGCAGCACTATTTATTTTTAATCCAGGAACTCACTCCTGGTTCCTCTCTTTTTCTCAACATCAACAACTTTAACAAAGTAAGCAACCAAAATCCAATGCATGAGAAAATCTTGTCCATTCCATCAGAAGATTTTCATTAACTATCAACCTAGCCACCCAGTCACAACCTTTAACTCTTGCTTGGACAATGGCAAAGCCTCCTCATTGTCCTCTCTCCTCTGCCTAGGGTAACAGGAAACTAGCCCACTGGGTTAAAAGCTAATTCAAACAGATAGCCAAACATAGAAATGTAAAAGAAAACACAATGAACTTTAAAAAGTTAGACCAATTAAAATAAAAGATCCAAAGAAGAAACTGGCAAGTGCAATGAACAGATACTTCTCAGAGAAAGAGGTAAAAATGGCCAACAAACATGAAAAAATGTTCAACACCTCTAGGCACTGGGGCAACACAAATCAAAACAATACCAAGATTCCATCTTACACTGTGAAAAATGATAATCAAGAAGTTGAAGAATAACAATTGCTGGCAATGCTACAGTGAAAAACAACCCTTCTACATTGTTGGTGAGAAAGTAAGCTAGTATGACCATCATGGAAATCAGTATGGAGATTTGTCAAAGAATTGAGATCAGAAATCTCGTATGACCCAGTGATCCCTGGCTAGGTGTCTTCCCCAAAGCACTTAAGCCATCATAGTACAGCGATGCATGCAGACCAATGTTTATAACAGCCCAATGTACACTAGCTCAATCCAGGGAGCAGCCTGCATGCCCATCAGCAGATGACTGTGCAGAGAAAATATGGTGTCTGTGTGGGATGGAATGCTACTTGGCTATGAAGAATGACAAATTTGAGGCAACTGTAGGAAAACAGATGCACCTGGAAACTGTAACTTTCATTGAAATAAACCAGACCCACAAGTTTAAATACCTTAGGGTATCTTTCATTTGAGTAATGCAAAGGACAAAGAAAATAATAAAGGATGGATAGAAAGGGACAAGGGAATAGATCTCATTCAATAAGGAAGTGATCCAAGGGAACAAGGAAATGATTGGGGGGAGGAGAAAGACAAATGAGAATAAAAATGTGCTCTAATAACTCCAATCAATGTAAACACTATACACATAGCATGAGCTGAGACAAATAACAACAAGTACAGAAAAGGCAATAAGGGAGTGAGGGGAAAAGGGGGGGAAGAGAGGGTTTTTTATTTCGGGTTTTTTTTTTTGTTTTTTTTTTTTGGTTTTTGTTTTTGTATTTAGGACAGGGTCTACAGGGTCTCACTTCTTAGGTTGGACTCGTAATGATCCTGCTGTTTACAGTCACCTAAATGCTGGGATTAGAGGCACCCACCAACAGGCCCAGGCTCAATGACCACCTCAGTGTGCTCCGGAGAGTGGGGCTGACATGGCAGGTCCGGGGATCGAACTCCCAGTCCCCAGGTCTGCCCAAGGAGGCACTTTAATCCACTGAGCTATTTGGCCAGCCCTGGGTTTTTTTTTTTTTTTTTTAAAGCTGTAATAAATGTACGTAACCACTCCGCAGGATGACTGTAAACTGCATGAATTACAGATACCCTACCAATTTCTTCTCTTTGTCTATGATTTTATTTTCAATTTCATGTGACAAAGAACTCAGATTTCTACAAAATTAACTGTTTCACCATAATTGCCTTTCTGTAAGATATGGGGTATTACATGAATAGTAGGTGACATTTGAACAAGTAACCCTGTCACATAGCTTGCAACTAGGATGTGGTAAATAAAAGCAGATTAAGATAAGGGAAAACCCCCATCTACAGAGTTCTTAGCACGGAAGGGCCCACAAAACACCATTATGCTGCTAGAGCTGAATGCCGTAGATATGTAAGCAGAATATATAGCAAAAATAACACAACAATATATTTATTTTGAGATCTGAAAATGCAACTCAAAATATAGATGGTCCCCAGGCTACACTAGGTTGCCTTACAATTTTGTGAGTTTATGATCATGCAAAAGTGATACTACGTTCAGTAGAAATCACTCTTCCCATTTTGCATTTTCATCTCTTCCAGAGCAGCAAGCCACATTTTCCGGGAGCCAGGACTACATGGAGAAGTAACCAACCCCCAACAGTGGGCCTACTTGTGTTGCTAAGTTAAGGCCTTTGGTAGGTTAGATGTATTAAATGCAAATTCTATTTCTAATATTTCCTACTTACGACGGGTACATTAAACATAAATCCATTGTAAATGTAACTCCATTTGAAGTTGAGGAGCGGCTTTAGCCGCTCTTACAAGTGAATTTTTAGTGTGTGTCACATTTCCTAAGCACCCATTTAAAGTTCAAGAAATTAAATATTTCATCTGTGTTTTTCATCTCTCAAATGATAATTCCATTTATACCTTTATGGGAAGTCCCATTTTCCACCCACAAAAATAAACCTGAAATAAGGCTGGGGGAAAAAAAATCAAACAATCTTTTACTCTCACGGTGGACCGGAGTTCACCACAAGGAAATTAGGTCTTTGCCTCTCCTACCTCTCGCCTGCCTCACCTGGCTTTGTCCCTAAACTGCAGGCCCGAGGGCGTGCCGGCAGCTGACCCTCCCACACGCATTCTTGCCGAGGAGAAAGGCCGTAGGGGACAGTGTAAACCCAGCTGTGACCGTCCCGGTCTCCGTCTGGAACCGCAGGTCGCTCGCACGAAATGCCCGCGGGGGCTGGGTCCTAGGCCGACCGACCGAGCACACCTGGGCCCGGCAGGTGCAGCGCGAGAGCCGAGCCCGGAGCGACAGCGCGGGGACGGCGCCACCGAGGGGAAGCTGTAGTCAAAGCCCTGCCGGACCCGGGAGAGGATCCGGCCACCGCACTGGCTTTCCGCGTTCCTCGATTCCCTCGGAGGTCGCGCAGGTTTCTGATGGCCGGGAACATGTGGCCGCCGGGCGGAGGAGGAGCGCTGCTGGCCACCCTGTTGCTGCTGGCTCCGTGGACCGCCGAGGGTGAGAGGCGGGCGCGGGAGGTCCGGGAATCCTGTAACAGCTGCGAGCTGCAGGTCGCCTGGCTCTTTGTCGCCACCCGCGCAGATTAGGGCTCAGCACACCCAGCCCTGGCGCACGGAATTCTGTCTTGTGTTTACAGCCTGCGTGTAGACGAGTTTGCGCAGATCCCAGATCCTAGTGCAGGAAAGGGATACCTGGCTTCCGATCCTAGAGGTCTGGCTGTAAGGGACTTTAACACGCCTGTCTGAATCGCCCCTCCCTGTATCCATAGGTGGTATTTAGGATTGCACTCAGGTCCTTCGCACTGAGCTACTTTCCTAGCCCTTTTAAAAATTCATAGTTTTGTTTTGCTACAAGGTCTGGCTAAGTCGTTAAAATTCTCCAGGCTGGACTCAAATTTATGATCCTCCAGACTCAGTGTATCAGTGCTGGGATTACAGGTTTGTGACACACACCTGTCTGCGTTTTACTGTTTTGTAAAACACATCTGCTGATGTCTCTCCACCTAAATGGCATAAAGAATGTCAGGTGTCTAACATGGTGCCTGTCACTTAATTTCTGCCCCTACTTGCACTTGGCTCCCAAGGATGTCTATGGTAGAACAGTCTTAGAGGTGCACCTGAAAGCTACCTTCTTGGCCTGTACTCTCACCCCCAACACACACTCATATACACACACTTACACCCACACACACACTCACACCCCAAATCACCACCATCATCCACACACATTTAACTCAGCATATAGTTTAAGATCCTCTTGGCCTGGACTTCGTGGATAGAAACCCCAGTGAGCTCCAGAGCCCCACTATGAAACTGGCCACAGGTGGACAGGACAGTAGAGCAGATGACTTCGCAGGAAAGCAGTGTAAAGGCCTGTTAGCAGAAAACAAAGTCCATTTTAACTGCTGTGAAGGTTTTGAAGTTGCGTCTTTCCTTCCTTCCTTTTTCCTTCCCTCTTAATTTAATTAGGTAAACAACTTCAATTACAGCACTTCTCTTACTATTTTTAGCTTTCCCAGAAGTGTCCTGGCTTAGGCCCATTGGGGATATGTTAGTTGAAGTAAGTTTTGAGTAATTTCATCCAGCCTTTTCTTGACAATTCAAGGTTTGCCCTTTCCCCACTCTACATTTTGCTTTGATTCCCTGATTGTTCTTTCACTTCTAAAAGAGCCAGAAAAAAGAAAATCAAATTTCCACAAAAGTTGATGTTAAGTTTTTAACCTTCTTGGGCATCAGAAGTAGGCTTTCAGGTGAAGAGATGTAGTAAAGCTTAAAATGTTATTTATTTATTTTCTTTATTATTATTTTAATGTATTTGGTACAGGGTCTCATTATGCAGCTCGGACTCTTAGTGATTGTTTTCAGCCTCCCCAACACTGGGATTATAGGCATGTGCCACCACGCCTGGTCTCCCTGGTGGGCTCAGCATACCTGGGACAGGGCTGGTACGGCATGTGTTACCAGGGATCAAATGCTGGTCCCTGCACTTGCCTAAGTAGGTGCTTAGTCCACTGAACTATCTCACTAGACAATTAAAATTTTAATTGTAGAAGAGAAGAATGCCCAGTGAGTTAAAGAATCTGTTATCATTGCCTAGGAAGTTTTGTGGTCCTTGTGTCTACCTCCCTGTCATCTTACTTTGAAGTTGTTATAGTTTCCCCATTTTTATTAAATTACTCTTATAGGGCTGGCCACATAGCTCAGCAGATTAAAGCACCTGCAAGCAGGCACAGGAGCTGTGGATTCAATCCCCGGGCCTGCTATGCCACCCCGCCCCCAGGGCACACTGACCTGGCAATGGAGACTAGGCATGGTGGCATGAGCCTGTAATCCTAGCTCTTGGGAGGCTGTAAACAGGCAGATCACTATGAGTCTGATCTAGTAATGAGACCCTGAATACCCTGTAGACCCTTCCCTAAAATACAAAAATAAACAAACAAAAAATCCAAATAAAAAAATAAATTACTCATAAAAAAATCCTAGGCACTATTAATTACATAACCTCCCAAAGTAATATAGTCAAACTACCTAGTAATTAGTTACTAAAGTAATTTAATGTCTCTGTGTACAGCTCTTTGAAATTTCAAAGAAATACAAGAAATGTAAGACTGAACTAACTATACTGTAAAGCACATGGTTTTATTTATGTAGCCTGTGCCATGGGCTAGCTGGAGGCCTGGGCTCCAGTAAGACAATTAACAACCTCAGTTTTCAGTGTATGCTTGCATACATTGATATCCTGCTGTCTGAGTCATTGTAAAAATGATGACGTTGTGCCTGTGAGGGTGTTGGACTCTATTAGCCCTCCTGCAGATCTGAGAAGCCTGAGGAGAAAGTGAGAATGGCCTGGGAGAGAAAAGAGAGCAGCCCTGCCTCTGAGAAGCAGAACCAGCCAAGCAGAGCTATAAAGTACTCAAGGAATCCAAACACAGACTTTATAAAATAATCCATGGGAATATAATTTCGGTATAAAAAAATAATAGGAAGTAGGGCTACTACTCACTGTATTGATTTCAGCCAAAATAGACTTCAGACCAAAGAAAATGGTGGGATAAAGAGGGCATTCCAAACAAAACAATGCTAAATGTTTATGTGCCTACTGACAGCTGAAACATGGGAGGCAAAAGGGGCAGACCTGGGAGCAGAGAGATGGGGACCCACTATTACAGCTGCAGCTGTCCACCAGCTTCTGTCCAGCATGGGCAGATTGTTCAACAGAGAATGCACATGCTCGGCACCCAAGAGCCTTTTGCTGATGTGAACCACATCTGGTCATTAAAGTTAGAGGTTTCCTGGACGGTGTTCAGCAAGGGACAGGCTCTGGTGCTCTCCCATAGGATCTGTTCTGTGGCCCTGCTTTGCAAAGGTACCGGGTAAAGGGGGAATCCAATTTGCTTTCTGGTTCTGTGATGTCTTTCAGTTTATATGCGCAGAGGTAAGTAGAATTAGAGCTTAGATTACCTAGTTGTGTTTTTGTTGTTGTTGTTGTTTTAATAAAATAGTCTTCACACCGAGACTAGTAACATAGAAAATGTTCCACAGGAAGATACCCAGTGAAGATAATCATACATATGAAATCCAACTGTATCATATGAGCAGGTAGCTGAGCTGATAGTCCCCCTTCCACTAGAGGGGGGAGGGAGGGAGGGAGGGAGGGAGAGAGAGTGAGAGAGAGAGCGCTTTCTATGAGAGGCACCTAGGAAAAGCACAGTCAGATGAGTCAAGCTGACAAGAAAAAAAAACCACAAAAACACATCTGGACAGCATCATGAAGAGTGGCTGAAAGTTTACAGGCACTATCATTAACAGAGTGACGATGACTGTCACATTGTTTTGTCTCTTGTGGCATGAATACCCACTTAATGTGCTCACCATTATGAGTGAAGCAAATGCTATCCCATCTGTCTCACACTTCTTTACAATGTTGTTTATGCAAGTAGTACAATATATCATTTGAAAATTTATTTTTTGAAAGTGCGTGCTGCTTTTAAACTTGTCACTGTTTAAGCAATACCCTTCGTGAAAGGGAGGAACAGGCAGACTGGGAGTAGTGTCTACCCCTAGTGGGTGGCTCATGTCAGAGCAGGCACCAACGTGACCAATTCATTGTGGTGGTGTGCAGCACAGATCAACCTGCCTTCCAGGGAAGACATAAATGAGGACAGTTGAAAGGAGCTTCGTGATAGAAGACAATAACCAAAATGACCCCAACAGGATACTCTCCCGGGCATGGACCAAGTGATGAAGATGGGCCATGTCGGTAGGTGGTAAAAAGGGAAGTAGCTAGGATTACTATATATTGTTCATCAGCGGATAAAACCACCACTTTGGAGAAAAGTTTAGCATTTCTTTAACAGTTAGACACATACCTATCAGGTGATTTAGTATTTTTGTAATTAATTAAATTTAATGGTACATTTTAGGTCTACATAATGCCAATACTCATCATAGGGGATTTGCTGTAACTTGATGTTTTTCCCATTCCCTTACCCTCCCTTCAACCCCTCTTCTCTTCCTCATTTACAAAAGCTTTATTTCCATTCTTCCTTCTTTTTTTCTTTTATTTCCCTTCTCCTTCCTTCCATTCCCCCTTCCCTACTACTTATTCCCCTTCCTATTTGAACAATTTCTTCCTACTTAAATATCTATTATACATTTTGGTCCTTATGTACACCTTTGGTTTCTCACGCCAGAAAAATAATGCAGCATTTACATATGCGTGTCTGATTTATTTCACTTATGAATGTGGTCTAAAGGTACATCCATTTATCTATAAATGTCTCAAGGTTATCCTTTATGGTAGAGTAGTACTCCATTGTATTAAAAAATGCTTCTTCTTTATCCATTCATCAGTTGATGAGCATTTGAATGGTTTCCAAGATTTAGCTATTACAAACTGTGGTACTATAAACATGGACATGCATGTATTGTTCAGTATGATGCTTTGAATTCTTTTCAGAAGATACCAATGAGGGGAATGACCAGGTTGAATGGAACCTCTAGTCCTTTGTTTCTGAGGAATCTTCATATTGATTTTCACTGTGTTTGTACCAGTTTACACTCCCAGCAACAGTGCAAAGGGATTCCTTTTTCCCCACAGCCCCAAAGGCATGTTATTGGTTGACTTCTTGATATTATACGTTCTTTCTGGAGTGAGATGGGGTCTCAATGTTGTTTTAATTTACACTGATCTGGAATAACCACTGATATTGAACATTTTTTCATATATTTTTTGCTGCTTCTCCTTTTTCATCTTAGTGTGTATTCATCTTAGATGCCTATTTTTAGATTGAGTCATTAAATTTGGGTAGGGTCTGATTTTTTTTTGAGTTCTTTATATGTTCTAGATAGTAATCTTTTGTCTGAGGAACACTGGCTGCTTTGTGTGAGGAATACTGGCAAACATTTTTCCCCACACTGTGGGTTGTCTCTTCTCTCCACTGGTCCTTTCTTTTGCAATGCAAAAGCTGTTTAGTAATACGAGATTCCAGTTGTTGA